TGCAGAACAGAGGCATAATTTCATGATGTCAATATATGGATTTTGGTTTCAGACACATAGTAAAAAAAAATAAATTATATGGGGTTGGGATAAGGAGTCCCCAATGGATTGGCTAGTGTTTCAGTGATGTTATTCTTTCCCATTGCCTCCCTGTTTTAAAATGTATTGATATTGTAGGGAGAAATTTTTTTGGTTGCCCCAGGAGTTAGGGGTTTGAGCTGATTTTCACTTTGACTCAACCATAAGTGCAAGCCATTATAAGGAGATGTGTCAATTGAACAACTTTGGAAATTGCCTATGAGAATATGCATCACAAACCATCATTATTAATTGTCCAAGAGTGCAGCTCAAGTCATATTTTATAGTTTATTTAATAATTTCTTAGACATTAATGACTTTTTTCACGAAATCCCTTTAACAGCCAAAGCTCATAATGGAAATGAGGTTGAGGGTTCTTCGTGTCTTAAGTTTTCTGTGCACGTGTTACGTGCCTACCTCTTACTAACTAAAGGTTCTTGGCATTGTGGGTATATACATCCAAACATCCAAAATGGCGGACGAGAGGTTTGAGCCAGGTGAGAATAATGCAAATTGTAATCATAATATGGTCGTTATTCCTTTGAAAATGCACCAGGAAATTTCATTTTATCGCTAATGTGTTAATGAGAAACTCCCTTTTTATTTTAAGTGATGAAAGTGACTGCTAAAGAGATGGCGGACGCGAAACTTCCTTTGGCGGCCAGAGATTACTGTGCCCACTTACTCATTCCTCTTCTGAAGTGTAGAAAGGATACGTACTATTTACCATGGAAGTGTCACCATGAGAAGCATGCTTGGGATAGGTGCCAGTACGATGAGTGAGTATTTGCAACAGGGGCGAATGGGCGAAATGTTTCACTGACTTACTATCTTGGTAGCTTTTATCATGGCTGGTCCTCTTATAAGGCAACGCTTATTTTGTAGATAAATTCCTCTTTATGGCTGGAATTCAATGGCTAGATTAATTGGGAATATACCTAAAAACAGAGTTATTAGAAGGGAAAAAAGAAAAGATTTGTAACTACGGAATTTTTTGGACAATGTTATATTGTAGTTATTGATGCAAGGAAATGTACTGTGCGATATGTGTTCAAGCAGTGATCGAGTATGTCAACTGCTCTGGATACAGAACAGATTTCCTACACTCCCTTACTGATTTCTAAGTCTCCCACATTAAAAAAAAGTGAGCTAGGATAAATATAGAATAATGCAGTAAATTTCTCTCTTTTCCCTTCCCCCCGCCTCCCCTCCACTTTGTAATCCACGTAATTCACTCTTCTGGTCAATATTAACGTTCTCTTTCCCATTATAACAAGTTCACTGCAGAAATGGCCACCCAATTGCTTGTAAGTCATCAGTGTTAAATAAGAAATACTATTCCCAAGTGAAATACTGAGTGGAATTGTCTTGAAGTGTTACATGTAGTTAATACCATTAAATTGAACCATGTTCAACTAACATTTCAATTTAGGCTTATTTTTGTACTTGTTTGGAACACCTAAACTTTACAAACATGATCTCTGCCATGAATCAGCTACAGGAAGCACAAGGGCTACTGCATTTCCTAATGTTTGGGAAACTTAGCTTCAATTAATAGTAAATTATCTAAGTATCTATGCATTTAGCATATTTTAAGGTGAGTTCTATCTCCTTTTTGAAACAGCTATATGTACAGAGTGAGAGAAAAGGAACGCAGGAAACTTCAGCAGTCAGCAGAGTGAAACTCTACCAACTTTCTCTGCTACCAGTCTGTGACCTCCTGAGCCATCTTATGATGAATGATAATACTTTTGTATTATGACAGTACATGAATTTGCAGAACCTCTGATGGTGTAAATTGTTACAAGGGAATTAAAAGTAACCATGTTTTCCAAATAAGACAGTTTTGTTCTTTTACTCATTTAAATTTATTAGGAGATTGTAAGAGTCACTGTCTCCTCTGCAAGAGTTATCTGAGCTCATTCATCAAAACTTTCTCACAACACTTAACCTGAGGGAGGGACACATCAAAGAATGTACAATTGGGAAGATTCATTAACTGGGAGACTATGCAAGTCATGTTTGAATTCCCTTAACCATTTCAATCTGAAGATTTCATTCACAATTCTTCCTAATTAATAAATTTTTCTTTATTTTTGTCACTTGTCTGCTTGATTATATATTGATATTGTAATGAGGAATTCTGTCTTGGTAACCCATGGGAGTTAAGAGTTAACGATGAGATTTAAGAGTCACTGTTCCATTTACAAGAGTCATCTGGGCTCCTTTGACAGCACTTTCAGTTATGTACTACACCTAACTGAAGGGAAAGGAGGCAGGCTATGTGAGTTGCATATGAACTCTGATAAGTCTGTTGCCTAAATTTGGAAGGCAATCTGACCAGTGTAGAGTTAAAACGTGAACAATAACTCTTCATTTTGCTTATAACCATGCAGTCAGGTTTCTTTCTCAAAATTCCATTTTGCTTGTCTAAGCAACAAGGACAACCCCACTCTTGTCCATGGTTGGGTTGTTTTCAAAATTGAGACCCCTTGCCCTTAGAATTTACTTTGAAATGGCTCAGAAGAAATATTTCCAATAACAGTGCGAGAGATCATAATGCCAGAACAGACACCCACATCTTAAAATTCTATATCTCTACCATTGGAAATGTATAGAGAACAGTATGGAGAATATGCATAATGATCTTAAGGTGTAATAGGTTAAAGAAAAACCACTTCTGATTTAGATTTTGTTATGTCTTTTTAAGTACTTAAACTTAATCCTTAATCCTCAACTTTGAAAAATAAAATATATATAATTGATGATATTGATGAGGATTATTCAAGTTCCAGAATGTAATGTCTAACAGGTTTATAATTCAAGAATTACTGCATAATATCATTTGGCATATTGGTGAGACTGATATCATAAAAATACAAGTTCAAACAGCCCACCATATGCCAGACAAGATTTTTCCTAAACACCATGACTTAAAATAACTGAAACTAGTCAGACAATATTGTTCCTTGTTACTTTGTCAAAAATTGAAAAAGTGGAAGGCAATCTGACCAGTTTAGAGATAAAACGTGAACAATAACTCTTCATTTTGCTTATTATCATGCAGCCAGGTTTCTTTCTAAAAATTTCATTTTGCTTATCTAAGTAGCAAGGACAACCCCACTCTTGTCTATGGCAGCTTTAATGCCTTGGTTTGTTTTCAAAAGTGAGATCCATTGCCCTTGGAATTTACTTTGAAATGACTCAGAAGAAATATTTCTGAGAACAGTGCAAAAGATCATAATGACAGAACAGACACCCGCATCTTAAAATTCTCCACCTCTACCATTGGCAATGTATAGAGAACAGTACGGAGAATATACATAATGATCTTAACGTGTAATGGGTTAAAGAAAAACCACTTCCGATTCAGATTTTGTTGTCTTTTTAAGTACTTAAACTTAATCCTTAATCCTCAACTTTGAAAAATAAAATATATATAATTGTTGATATTGATGAGGATTATTCAAGTTCCAGAATGTAATGTCTAACAGGTTAATAATTCAAGAATTACTGCATAATATCACCTGGCATATTGGTGAGCTGGTGGAACTGATATCATAAAAATACAAGTTCAAACAGCCCACCATATGCCAGACAAGATTTTTCCTCAACACCATGATTTAAAATAACTGTAACTAGTCAGACAATATTGTTCCTTGTTACTTTGTCAAAAATTGAAAAAGTGGAAGGCAATCTGACCAGTTTAGAGATAAAACATGAACAATAACTTTTCATTTTGCTTATTATCATGCAGTCAGGTTTCTTTCTCAAAATTTTATTTTGTTTATTTAAGTAACAAGGAAAACCCCACTCTTGTCAATTGCAGCTCTGATGCCCTAGTTTGTTTTCAAAATTGAGACCCCTTGCCCATGGAATTTACATTGAAATGGCTTAGAAGAAATATTTCTGAGAACAGTGTGAAAGATCATAATGACAGAACAGACACCCACATCTTAAAATTCTCCATCTCTACCATTGGAAATGTATAGAGAACAGTATGGAGAATATGCATAATAATCTTAAGGTGTAATGGGTTAAAGAAAAACCACTTCCAATTTAGATTTTATGTCCTTTTAAGTACTTAAACTTAATCCTTAATCCTCATCTTTGGAAAATAAAATATATATAATTGTTGATATTGGTGAGGATTATTCAAGTTCCAGAATGTAATGTCTAACAGGTTTATAATTCAAGAATTACTGCATAATATCATCTAGCATATTGGTGAGCTGGTGGGACTGATATCATAAAAATACAAGTTCCAACAGCCCACCATATGCCAGACAAAATTTGTCCTCAACACCATGATTTAAAATAACTGTAACTAATCAGACAATATTGTTCCTTGTTACTTTGTCAAAAATTGAAAAAGCGATGTATGCTATATATTAGTTGTACATGCAAGTTTTGAAGCACTCCACATCTGCAGTGACCACATTGTGAGATAAACAATTATTTCTCTTTGGAAAGTGTTATTTACTGCAATAACAAACCACAACCTATTTTACAATATAAAGTTTTAAATTAATGTCCCCTTTAATATGTAAATTCTTCTAGACTACTAAAGAAAAGAAGTGACAGACACAATGCAATGGTTCATCCTGGTTGTTACCATGCTTTAACATAAATACACTGCCTTACAAAACTGAGGTTCCTTAAATTAAAATTTTCCATCAGAACCTCAAGATGTTATAACCTTTTGTGATGAAATCCCAGTTATATGTTGAACATTCTTTAGCCCCAGAATAACAAAATGAATGGAAAATAAACCAAATGTAATGGAAATTTTTGTAAAGAGGGCCCGTTATAACAAATACCCTTTTGATCTACCAGTAAAACTGCATAACAAAGAGTGGGAAAAAAAACAACAATAAATCAACCCCCTCCCACCCACTTTTCCCATTACAATGGACATATCTTTCTAAAAAATTGTTTTAAATCTTTGAAGTATGAAAACTAGATCCTTGATGAAAATGTAATTGTTAAAAAAAATTATTGTGAACATGGACCAGAGCTGGACAAGTGCCACAAATACACCAGGTTTATACTTCAAGAAGTACTGCATGTTATCATTTTAAATCATCATAATCAAAATAACTTATCAAATAAATTATACCAATTTGTAATTCAAGAATTACTGCATGTTATCAACTGGCATATTGGTGAGCTAGTGGAACTGATGTCATAAATAATAAAAGATCAACAAGTTTACCTTGTGCCAGACAGTATATTTCATCAATACCATGATTTAAAATGACTACCATATGCCAAGTGTGTTACACCAATCTTGCTATATATTTTTCAGTCCATGCATAGAACCAAATATGAAGAAGTGAAGTTTCTGATAATCTTATATTGCACACTGTACACAAGAATATCCTGTTCCATCAGATTCATGCTTGAACAAACTTTATAATTTCACTTTAAGTTACAGTATTAAAAAGTTGTTTGAATCAGCAATATCTCTTGCTGTGTTTCAAATAAATTAATCCACAGCCCAAGAAAATCCAATTTACATTTGAAAAGAACATTATTACAGATATCGTATTTATTTTCTGCTTTTTCTGCCAAATCTTCTTGAGTACTCTGAAAAGCTCCTTCAACCTCTTCCTGTCTTTGGGTTGCTTCTTGTTCATGAGGTAACCAACATGGCTACTAAGGAATTGTTGCTGATGTCTGTCAAAGCAGCCTCAAAACTTTAAACAACAACTCTGCACTTAAAGAATGCCTTCTTTGGTGATTTGCAGCAGCATGTATCACAGGAACTAAAACATTGTCAAGATCCACCATAACATTAGCTGGGAGGTGCTGCTGATTGCTTCCCGCAAGATAACCAACCTGAGAGATTAAAGAAGTGACAAGAACAATTTTATTCATTGCACATAACCTAGCATGGCATCACAACTGCAAAACACAACATTGCCTATTTAACTGCCAAGATCTGATTGTTTATTCTCCCCTCTAGTTGCTACAGATTTCCTTGTTAATTTTTATGAGAATTTGATGTTTGATCAAAATAACAACTTCTACCTGATAAGTTTCAGTATTCTCATTACCTATTCACTGAATAATGTATGGATATTGTAGGAAGAGGTTATATGATAATCACTTCCAGGAGTTAAAGTTAAAGAATTTGCAGTATGGGAAGTACTTAAACTTGATATATCACAATTTAGTACACATACATTAACATATTGATCATAGTTGTGCAAGACCCAGATTATAAAGTAAAACAAGGTCATACTTTAAGAATTATAGACAATTATTCCACAAGTGCACATTGGATATGAGATGATAGATAGCCAACAAGCCTGGGGTTGGCCATAATCATCTCATATCCAACAAGCATGTGTGTAGTAATTGTTTTATAAAAAACACCTCAAAATATGAACAAATCCTCCCAACTTAATTCTGTAAGAACAAGTGTAATGTTACAAAGTACAATCATATTTGTAGAGCATGGTGTCATGGCTCATAACCCATGATGGCTATGCCAATGAAAACTCTTGAATTGCATAATCCAATGAACTAGTTTTTAATAATGCATATTATCATCTGGCATATTGGTGAGCTGGTGGAACTGATATCATAAATAATAAGAGTTCCCACAGCTCACCTTATGCCAGACAATATTCTCCCTCAACACCATGATTTAAAATTATTGTAACTAGTGACAAGTGTATTTCATCTTGCCATGAATTAATACGTCCACAGTCCGTTGACAAGTCCATAATGCATTATTATCTCTAACAGGTACATAATTCATGAATCACAGCATGTTATCATCCAGCATATGATACTGGAAAATATGTCATCTTGCCATGAATTAATAAGGCCACAGTCTGTTTACAAGTCCACAATGCATTATTATCTCTAACAGGTACATAATTCATGAATCACAGCATGATATCATCCAGCATATTGGTGAGATGGTGGGACTGATACCAATAATATAAGTTCAAACAGCTCACCATATGCCAAACAATATATTTCCTGGAAAATATGTCATCTTGCCATGAATTAATAAGTCCACAGTCTGTTTACAAGTCCAAAATGCATTATTATCTCTAACAGGTACATAATTCATGAATCATGGCATGATATCATCCAGCATATTGGTGAGACTGATACCAATAATATAAGTTCAAACAGCTCACCATATGCCAAACAATATATTTCCTGGAAAATATGTCATCTTGCCATGCATTAATAAGTCCACAGTCTGTTGACAAGTCCATAATGTATTATAATCTCTAACAGGTACATAATTTATGAATCACTGCATGTTATCATCCAGCATATTGGTGAGATGGTGGGACTGATACCAATAATATAAGTTCAAACAGCTCACCATATGCCAAACAATATATTTCCTGGAAAACATGTCATCTTGCCATGAATTAATAAGTCCACAGTCTGTTTACAAGTCCATAATGCATTATTATCTCTAACAGGTCCCTAATTCATCAATCACAGCATGATATCATCCAGCATATTGGTGAGATGGTGGGACTGATACCAATAATATAAGTTCAAACAGCTCACCATATGCCAAACAATATATTTCCTGGAAAATATGTCATCTTGCCATGCATTAATAAGTCCACAGTCTGTTGACAAGTCCATAATGTATTATAATCTCTAACAGGTACATAATTCATGAATCACAGCATGTTATCATCCAGCATATTGGTGAGATGGTGGGACTGATACCAATAATATAAGTTCAAACAGCTCACCACATGCCAAACAATATATTTCCTGGAAAACATGTCATCTTGCCATGAATTAATAAGTCCACAGTCTGTTTACAAGTCCATAATGCATTATTATCTCTAACAGGTCCATAATTCATGAATCACAGCATGATATCATCCAGCATATTGGTGAGATGGTGGGACTGATACCAATAATATAAGTTCAAACAGCTCACCATATGCCAAACAATATATTTCCTGGAAAATATGTCATCTTGCCATGCATTAATAAGTCCACAGTCCGTTGACAAGTCCATAATGTATTATAATCTCTAACAGGTACATAATTCATGAATTACAGCATGTTATCATCCAGCATATTGGTGAGATGGTGGGACTGATACCAATAATATAAGTTCAAACAGCTCACCACATGCCAAACAATATATTTCCTGGAAAATATGTCATCTTACCATGCATTAATAAGTCCACAGTCTGTTGACAAGTCCATAATGTATTATAATCTCTAACAGGTACATAATTCATGAATCACGGCATGTTATCATCCAGCACATTGGTGAGATGGTGGGACTGATACCAATAATATAAGTTCAAACAGCTCACCACATGCCAAACAATATATTTCCTGGAAAACATGTCATCTTGCCATGAATTAATAAGTCCACAGTCTGTTTACAAGTCCATAATGCATTATTATCTCTAACAGGTCCATAATTCATGAATCACAGCATGATATCATCCAGCATATTGGTGAGATGGTGGGACTGATACCAATAATATAAGTTCAAACAGCTCACCATATGCCAAACAATGTATTTCCTGGAAAATATGTCATCTTGCCATGCATTAATAAGTCCACAGTCCGTTGACAAGTCCATAATGTATTATAATCTCTAACAGGTACATAATTCATGAATCACAGCATGTTATCATCCAGCATATTGGTGAGATGGTGGGACTGATACCAATAATATAAGTTCAAACAGCTCACCACATGCCAAACAATGTATTTCCTGGAAAATATGTCATCTTGCCATGCATTAATAAGTCCACAGTCTGTTGACAAGTCCATAATGTATTATAATCTCTAACAGGTACATAATTCATGAATCACAGCATGTTATCATCTAGCATATTGGTGAGATGGTGGGACTGATACCAATAATATAAGTTCAAACAGCTCACCACATGCCAAACAATATATTTCCTGGAAAACATGTCATCTTGCCATGAATTAATAAGTCCACAGTCTGTTTACAAGTCCATAATGCATTATTATCTCTAACAGGTCCCTAATTCATCAATCACAGCATGATATCATCCAGCATATTGGTGAGATGGTGGGACTGATACCAATAATATAAGTTCAAACAGCTCACCATATGCCAAACAATATATTTCCTGGAAAATATGTCATCTTGCCATGCATTAATAAGTCCACAGTCTGTTGACAAGTCCATAATGTATTATAATCTCTAACAGGTACATAATTCATGAATCACAGCATGTTATCATCCAGCATATTGGTGAGATGGTGGGACTGATACCAATAATATAAGTTCAAACAGCTCACCACATGCCAAACAATTTATTTCCTGGAAAATATGATTTCAAGTAACTGCACCATGTGTTCTAAGATGAACAACTAAATACTCTCAACATATCATGCAGAAAGCTACAATATGACTGCACACCTCACAAATAAAACATTAGTTACTAAAATTAACAAATTAATTCCCTGTTGTAGTGCATCTGTTCAGCAATAGATAACAGATGACATCAAAATGTGGTAAAAACAAAAAAGTGGAGCACAAGGCACAAATGAGTGTGTCACTGATGTTCTTACTACATTTTGTCATCCTCTGTGATTTATTACAAAACAGTCCTACAGCAAGATGAACTGATATCATAAATAATACGAGTTCCCACAGCTCACCTTACGCCAGACAATATTCTCCCTCAACACCATGATTTAAAATTAGTGACAAGTGTATTTCATCTTGCCATGAATTAACAAGTCTACAGTCTGTTGACTGTCTATAACGCATTATAATCTCTAACGGTTACATAATTCATGAATCAAAGCATGTTATCATCCAGCATATTGGTGAGATGGTGGGACTGATACCAATAATATAAGTCCAAACAGCTCACCACATGCCAAACAATATTTTTCCTGGAAAATATGATTTAAAGTAACTGCACCCTGTGTTTAAGATGAACAACTAAATACTCTCAACCTATCATGCAGAAAGCTACAATATGACTGCACACCTTACAAATAAAACATTAGTTACTGAAATTAACAAACGAATTCCCTGTTGTAAGTCATCCGTTCAGCAATAGATCACAGATAACATCAAAATGTGGTAAAAACAAAAAAGTGGAGCACAAGGCACGAATGAGTGTGTCACTGATGTTCTCACCACATTTTGTCATCCTCTGTGATTTATTACGAAACAGTCCTACAGCACGATGAAGTCTATTTGTTTCCCTTGATAATAAAGCAAAATGTTGTTCATGGTGAATTTATCTTTGCATCTGTCCTCCAACTTATCATATAAATTATACCAGTTTGTAATTAAAGTGTTGCTGCATGTGATCATCCAGCATATTGGTGAGATGGTGGAACTGATACCAATAATATAAGTTCATACAGCTCATCTCATGCCAAACAATATACTTCCTGGAAAATACGATTTAAAGTAACTGCATCCTGTGTTTAAGATGAACAACTACATACTCTCAACCTATCACCCAGAAAGCTACAATATGACTGCACACCTCATGAATAAAACATTAGTTACTAAAATTAACAAATGAATTCCCTGTTGTGGTGCATCTGATTAGTAATAGATCACAGATGACATCAAAATGTGGTAAAAACAAAAAAGTGGAGCACAAGGCACAACTGAGAGTGTCACTGACATTCTCACCACATTTTGTCATCCTCTGTGATCTATTACCATACAGTCCTACAGCATGAGGGAGTCTATTTGTTTCGGATGATAGTAAAGCAAAATGTTGTTCATGGTGAAGTCATCTTTGCATCTGTCCTCCAACGGATCATAAAATAACTTATCATATAAATTATACCAGTTTGTAATTCAAGAATTACTGCATGTTATCATCTGGCCTATTGGTGAGCTGGTGGAACTGATATCGTAAATAGTAAAAGTTCAAATAGCTCACCATATGCTAGACAATGTTTTTCCTCAACTATATGATTTAAAGTAACTGCACCCTTTGTCCAAGATGAACAACAACATACTCTCAACCTCTCAAGCATGAAGCCACAATATGAACTGACTGACTTACTGATTAATAGATTGATTGACTGACCGACTGCCTGATTGATTGACTGACAGACAGACAGATAGACAGACAGACAGACTGACTTAACAACTGACCAACAAGAAAATAATGACTGTACAGAAAAAGATACCTGAACTAAAAATATGTCTTAACTACCAAAGCTTATCACAACTCATGCCAACTACCCCAATGGTGGCATATGTTATATGTGCCTTACATTATCAGGATCCAAATTTACTCTCAGTCCAACAAAGGTGAATCCATCTGAGCTCATTTTAGACAAGTGTGGCATGAGTGTCTGGCAAAAAGCCTTGGCCAGCTCTCCAGTGAGTTTATTAAGGTCCCGTGATGCACTCTGTTGTCCTTCACCTAAAAAGAACACCTCTGTCCATTGTATCCTAAATACATTCTTGCGTGTGAAGTCACATCCACTGTGAACCTTGACACTTGGAAAAGAACCTAGCTGTAAACCATCTATTGGACTGTTCAAACTGTGGAAATTTGAAAGAAATATCAATCAAGAAAAATCAATCAGTTGTAATATCTGCATTTTATTGTGGATTTAGAGCCTTTCTCAAAAGTTGTTAGTAGGACAATTTATTTCATTAGGGTGTGTAATTACAGTCAAAGACTTTAGTCTCCTTTATGGCCCTAAGTTATGCCAATATCTTTACAAGTACATGAACAATTATGGCATCAAACAAATTGAACAAGTCCTGCTTCAGGACTTGTTCAATATTTGGTTGCCCTGTGTTCAACTCCTTACTGCACTGTGTAAATAGCCAACTGGTCTGCTTACTACCAGTTGGGATTTTAATGCACTTAATGTTTATTTGAAATACTTGTTTTTCTCTCTTTCAAATTGTGAAGTGCTAGGAGGCTTGCAATAAGCACAACATAAATTGTAAATTGATTATTTATTATTTACACCGCACCTGGCTTGCTGTGAAGCACTTTGACGACTGGCCCATTCCACAATGACTTGTTCTTCACCAGCCCCACCTGGAACCCCTGTAGTAATTGAATAATCCTGCATTTCTTTCAAAGAATGTCGTAACTTTTCAATCATTTCTGGCGTCAATTGAACCATAATGCCATCTATGCAAAGGAAAAAACAAAAATTAAATCAGCAAGTATTCAAAATGGCAAGTACTACAAAATGGCTCTTACTGATATTACTATAAATACCCTAAGTTCTAATGAGTTGGAAAATGATACAAATCATCTGATATTTAACATAGCCTTTGCACTTCAAACATCAAATTCTCTGAACATTCTGCCATTTGTTTCTTCTAGTTTTAGCCTTGAGAAATTGCCTTCCGATCATACAATATCCACTTAAGGGTATTATTCTTTCTTCTCAACACCTTTCTGTTTAATCCTTTAACTCCAAGTGATCTGATTGTTAATTCTCCCCTGTAGCGGCTACACATTTCCTTGTAAATTAGTTATGAGAACTTGGTGCTAGATCAAGATAACAGCTTCTACCTGATAAGTTTGAATGTTCTCATCACCTGTTTGCTGAAGAATGTAGGGATGTTGTAGGGAGAAGTTTTACTTTAATCACTTCTGGGAGTTAAAGGGTCAAAAATTTACTGATATGGTGAGGAGAAATTCCATTTGGGTCTCCCCTAGAAGTAAAAGCATTGGCCAAACAAAGAGTAACTGGCAATGAAAATATGACAGACAGAAAACTACTCTTGCTGTGCTTTGACATCAAATTCCAAACTAAATGATACAGACATCAGATCTATAGAGAGCCCCATGGAAAAGAACTTTAAACTTCTGGCTGCCATCGATGTCTCAGAGGCAAATGGGCTCAAGCTCTCTCTTAATTAAGCCCTTTGACCCCTAAGAGTGACAGTATCTTATATTTCCCCACATTATCACCCCTGAATTTCACATAAAGGTCAAGAGTTAAATGAACTGCATACCAACTAAAGAACCTTGATTGTTATACAAATTCTCCTTGACAGCACCTCAGGAAATGTTGAGAAAACAGTGAGGAGAATACGCATCAGTAAAAGGTTCAGTGGATAGGACAAGTTACAAACCTTCCACAATGTTGACTTTTGCCATGAATGGACTGCTTGGCTTTAGCGCCCCACTGAAGACAATAAAGCTTGCTCCAGTTACTAAAGAAAACCAAAATAATAGAAGTTACATTAAAAAAATACACCATATATACTTGAGCCAGTGACCCTGGTTGCATTTTCCACCTGCTTCAGTATGTACCTTTCCTGGCTTGATTCTGTATGTTGATGGCTTGGGTTTTATAGCCTTGTTCACTCTGCATACAGACCAGATGTGAGTCTGCTTCTAAGCTGAAGTTGGCTCCAAGAGCCATGACATGCTCATCAGTGGCATTGAGAATCTTTACCACCTGATGAGAGAATCAAAGACTTCTATTTCCTAAAAGATTACCAGGTATTGTCTGTTCATGATTTTGGTTAATGCTCCTACCAAAAAGGTAAAATGTTACTACTCTTGCTGCCTTAAATTCTGGACAAAAGTGCTTTTTCAGCAGTTGTGGACAATTCAGGTTCTTATGAGGAATTTTGCAGGCTGTTCACGTTTCCTCTTCCTGAATTACAAAGCATTTATTGCATACACACACACACACACAAAAAAAAAAAACAGCCAGAAATATCCTCTGTTGAGAACTCAATGATCATGATACCCATAAGTGGCAAACTAACTGCACCTTTCACTAACTGATTTTGGTAAAGTTTTTTATTAATCAGCCTCTTTTCAATCACAAAATTACCTATCTTAATACATGAAGACTTCAATTGTCACTTAACCCTTAACTTCTAAAAGTGACTAGCATCTAATTTCTCCTTACAATACCACCCCTGACCCACACATTAAGGTCATGAAAATAAAGGAATGATCACCAACTAAAGCAGCTCTTGATTGTTCGACAAATTCTCCTTGTCAGCTCCTTAGAAAATGTATACAGAACAGTATGGAGAATGTGCACACTGTCTGATGTTAGGGTGTAGAGGGTTAACACTCAAAATTGTTACCTCATCATATCTGTCTTGTGGCAGTCTAACTAAAGTCTTCTTTTCTTCCATGTGTATGAGAAGCCCTGTCACTCTTGGTAATGTATACTGGAAATTCTTGAAGTCCTAAGAAAATTAATTATTATTACAGCATAAGGCAAGTTTGCACTCAGTAGCAAGGCTATATTCTGTATGAAAAACAGTCTACAATCTAGCAGTGGGAAAGTCATGATTTTGGGTTTCTGAAAGAGGTCTATGAATTGTAACTTCTTCAGTTACACTCATTAAATCTGTAACATCTCTGATTGTCCACCTGGTTGCCATGTGAACTTTAATATATCTCACAGAGCTGTTCTCTGCTCTGGAATAATTATGACAGCTACTAGTAAATTGTCTGGGAGATCTAACATAATTCAAGGGGTGCGAAGGGGCTGTTTCTTGTCCCATCCCACCTTGATTGTTCAAGATAGAAGGCTAGCTTTTTACTCTTTATGGTACGTTTTCAACCCAGTTGTTAACACTAAATTCAGTGGATAAACACTTACCCCTTTATTCAAAGGCTAGATAGTTCTATTCAGTGGATAAACATTTACAAAATAAATTATATTAGGCTAACTGCTGGATAGTGTTACCCAGCCTTTGAACAACCAGGGCCTGCAGATGGATTAACAACACTCTTTGTCACTTCATGATACTGAAATTTAAGATAGCTCAAAAAGTGTTGGCAAGACAGCCATTGTGCAAGAACACTCACTGCCTAAGTACCCATCCTAAATTAAAATCTAACTGATCTGAATAATTTAGAGCAACTACTGTACATTGAAAAGAACAATGAACACATACTGCTAACAGATTCATGATTGTATGTCCAACTTCACCATATACTGTTGATCTGCTTCTTGAACTGAATAATGGACAGGGATAATCTAGAATCAACAAAAACAAGTCTCAAAAGCATCTAATTTTGCTGTCCACTATCACCCCAGAATCACACATTCAGGTCACATAATAAAGGAAATGGTTGCCAACTAAAGAAACTCTGATGAAAGCATGATTTCATTATGACTAAACAAATTCCCACTTACATCTAAACTCTGCTCCAAGTCTTAGCTGCAGCCTTAAAGGAAACAGTTGGGCCCATGGTGATTCCAGGCGTTTTATTAACACTCCTATGACATAAGGAGTGGAAGGAACAGGGATGTTCTTCAAACACTGAAAAGATTTGATTGCATTTAAAAAAATATCAAACATTCATCACACTAACATGTGTATATATCGTTATTGTTAATAAATAGAACCTTCCCACTCAAACTGTTAAAACAAAGTTTGGGTTTTTTGATAGAAAATAATTGAAAATGCACTTTGGAAAAAAAGCATTTACGTTTGAGTGCAGAGGGATTTTTAGCTAACTGAGATTGGGAAAGCAAAAAGCTAATATTACCATAAGTAATCATCCCTGGGATGTTTAATTGAGTTTTGTGTTCTCATGTGTAACCCAGAGAGAAGATGTTGCAGCATCAAATGTCATCTAGAGCTTCATTCTTCACATCTCTTCATTTTTTTTCTTTTTTCGAAATACACTTACTAGAAAAAAAGTCTCAGAACCAAGGCTTTCAATTTCAAAGCATACCTGAAATGATGGTTTTACATATAGAAAGCCTGCATTGTCACTACTGCCAAGAAATGGTTGACCAAAAATTGTGTAGCCAAGTTCAGACACAGTGTGACCTAACAGCAATTGAAAGAAATCTTAGTTCCAAGAAATACTGCCAACAATTATTGCTATTCTCATTAATGAAGAGGAATCAAGATCCTACCTTGTTTTGCATATGCAAAGGCTGTATTGAAGTGTGAAAGGACATCCTTTGGAAGCATTGTCTCTTTACGATGACACTCCAACAGGACCACCTGAAAACATTGGATACAATAATCTAACTAACAATGACAATAATTTTTGACTAACACTATTTTTTTATATCTCTCAGCAATCAATGACTAAACTCAAAATTTTTCAACCCTCTCAACCATGAACAGATAACATACAGTACTTCAACTCTTAAGACACATATATAACTTAAGCAACAGCTTTACCATTTCTTCTTGGTTAGCTGCCCCCATTCCTTCTGTAACAAAACACCAACATTTGCGCTTCACACAACAGCTCACTAGAAGAAATGAAGAGAAGTGAACAAGGATCCTTAGTCCTTAGTGCTCTTGAAATTCAAGGCCCTTTGATTAATGCTATCCCACAGATTAATCTTTACAAGCTGAATAACAGATTGCTTTCAAGCATTGTAAATAAGTCTGTATTTGCACTTAGTGCCTCACCCAGCCACAGCTTATCCAAGTTTCCTCAGCATGAAGTGACTAGGAGTATTACTACTACCCCCTGGATGGGATGTTGGTCCAGCACACACCCCCCCCCCCCCCCCCAGCATTTCATCAAGCTTTCCTGACAGTTAGCCAGCACCCATTTATACTCCTTGTTGGAGAGAAGCACTGTGAGAGAAAAGTGTCTTTCCCAATAACACAACACATTGACCCAGCCAGGTATCCAAACCAGACCTCTCAACCTAGAGTTCAGTTTGCTGACCATAAGGAAACTGCTTCTCCAACAGTAAATGGCTACTTTTCAAAACCTACTGGAACTTTGTGGACATAGTTTGCTTTGTTATGACAAATAGTTACATTGAATGACTTGAATGCACAATAACTGATATCTAACAGTATCTTCTAACACTTCACCTGGTTTATTCATTGTAACAATTCACACTTACATTTCACTAAAGTGACTTTGACAACCAAGTTCTTATTCAGCAGGAATACAACAGTTTCATGAAGACCTGTTAGCAAAAGAGCATTGTCAGCATGGGAGAAAATAATTATGAGGACTTCCCTACAAAAAAAAAAAAAATCTCTGGACATTTATTATTTCATGATTTATTGACCTTCTAGAAATTATTTAGAAGCGACTTCACCTGTCATTAAATTTGAGGCTGACCTAGTGCTTTTACCACATCAAAACTGCCATGATTATTAGCTGATAGTGGCTAATACAAGAACACAAGTTTCCAGGGAGAATATTAGGGGTGGTACAGCATGCTTTCTTCCTCAATTTTGCCACAACAAGTGAATGTTCCTGCTATGTTTAACAATCATATTGTTCTACAAAAGCTCTTACAGTGGCTAAAACAAGGAAACAAGTTTTCAAGGAGATTATTTTGGGAGGTATGCTTTCTTACCCATTTGCTTCACAATCGACAAATTTTCTGTCTACAATACATATTTAATAAACATACTGTTCTCCCAAAAGCCTTAATCTTTTAGCTGACTAATTTTCAAGTCTTGTTTGATCTGTTAGGAATGTCACTTACATTAAACTAAGACAAAAAATAATTGCTTTGCAAGAAGCAACATTTAAGTCAATTTAAGACATTGAGTTTCTTGACTCAATGTCAACTAAAAAGTTTGTACCTTTCAGTTGATACATGATTTCTGCAGGATCAGGTCTTTCTTGAATTGATATCTCTGAAACAGATAAGATATACTATAGTTACTAAGCAGCAATGATCATTATTTCATCTCTCAAAGTAGAGACTTTCTGAGCATCTTGCCATGTTTCAGCTAGTACATACTGAGAATCTTCTTCGGGAAATAAGGTTGATTAGTCATACATCAAGATAATTTGTAAGCAACCAACATCTAATTTCTCCTTCATCATCAGTATCACCATTGAATAAGACATTCTGATCATGAGAATGAAGGAAATGATCAACAACTGAAGAAGCTCTGGATTGTTAAACAAATACTTAAAATCAGTACCATACAAAATGCATAAAAACAGTAAGGAGAATATGAGTTCTGATGTTAGGTAGTGAAGGGTTAGGGACCAACCTTCCCATCCAATCAAATCACACTAGGAAGAATTACACACACCTTCATTTGTAACCCTCAAAACTGGTGGCAGTGTAGTTATATCTTGTGGCAACAATGACCGCACATTATCAACATCCAATCGAAACAAGCAATCACTGTCGTCAGACAGAGCAGGGGATGCTGGTGTGGATAATGGAGTGTTAGGTGCATCTGTGGGTGGTAGCACTGGGATTTGTAGAGGAGGAAGAACTGGGGGAGAGGAAGATGGTCTTGTGGCCATATCCACTCCTAAAGATGAGTGCCAGTCATTAGACAACAGAATTCTGGTATTACTTTAAAACGTCAACCACAATTATGTGCTCTATGAGTGACTACAGAAAAATTGGAGATCATGTTGACAGAAGCAGTTTAACCCTTAAACTCCCAGAATTGATTAACATCTAACTTCTCCCTATAATACCCATACATTATCCAGCAAACAGGTGATGAGAATATTTAAACTTTTCAGGTAGAAGTTGTAATCTTGATTTAACACCTAGTTCTGATAACTAATTTAAATGGAAATGTGTAGCAGCTACATGTAGAGGGGAGAATTGAATCAGATCTTGGGAGTTGAAGGGTTAAATACAGTACGGTCTTCACCTGGGCTGGGTAACTCTGTGGAATCAAGTTCATCCCCTATGGCCTCTGCACCTTCAGAGACCTCTTGCTGGTCAGCTGGTAAGTCTTCATGTTCTTCTAAAACATCTTCTGTGAGCAAATCATCTGGCACACTGTCAAAATGATTTCTGAGATTGTCATCCTCTTGGCTTTCCATCACTTCTGATAATGCCTGAGCTGAAATTACAGTCATCATCAATACTTTGCCTCAAAAATGATGCTTTGACCATTGAAATGCTATGAAACATCTGGTTGATACACTAAAAAGATTATCCTCAAGCTATGCACTCCTTAACTAAAACTCCTATGAGTTAGAGAGTACTTCTTTACTTTAATCATACAAGCAGCATAAAAACACCATATCCAAAACAAATACAAACAAGAACCACAAATCATGAGTCCATATTCTTTTAGATGTGACAATAAACATTGGATGCTCTATGTAGAACTGATAACAATAAGATACCTCTTAAGAGGGCATTGCAGCAGACTTGGCAAACTCGACCTTCCTTATTGTCCAGGTAAGGTAAAACAAACTTCATATTACAGCAAGATGAACACAGAGCCTGTAATTGACATAACTCACTTAATTAAGACAATCAACAAAAAATAAAGGTCCATAAGTAGTAAAAAATTCTTTTCTTACCTCAAATAGCCAATATCAAGATACAAAAAAGTTTTATATCTTTCTGTTGTATATTACCAAAGAAGTAATTTTTTGACACTGGTTAACTCTTTATCTCTTAAGATCTTAATGTTAATTCCCCCTCTAGCTGCTAATATTTCCTGGTAAATACGTTACAAGAATTTGGTATTAGATCAAGAAAATGACTTCTACCTGATAAGTTTGAGTATTCTCATTACCGGTTTGCTAAATAATGTATGAATACTATAGGGAGAAGTTTAAAGCCAATCACTCATGGAACTTCAAGGGTTAGTAACACTTTGAGTACCTTGAATGATCAACTATTACATGTATGTGCCAATATATACAAATAGATTTCCTCTAAATTCCTATCCAGCATAAAAATAAGAGTGTATTGTGAGCTACAGTACCTTTCCACAAGCTCTGCAGTGATGTCTCCTCTTCAGAACACTAAATTTCAACCCACAGTTCATACAGTGAGTAGCCACAGAGTCAGGCACCCATAGGGGTGGCACTCTACCAAGACAAGCTTCTCCTGAGGTGATGCGGCGAGCCTCTACTGCTCCGTGAGACTGTAATGACATGGTTAATACAGGAGACTGTGCAGCTTCTTCATGTTCAACTTGACCAGGCTGATTGCCTGTGTCAAAACTCTCCTGTTCTGAATTACAATTATATGAATTTGTCATTGAAGGCTCAGTTTGAAAAGAGGTGCCAGAATCCGCATTCTCATTCTGTGTATAAAAATCCTGTGTTCCTACAATATGACTTTGATCAGAATCTGAAGGGTAAGTTTCAAAATTTGCATCAACTACTGGCACAATGGACAATCCAGGTTCAAGAAGATTTTCACTTTGCACTTGGTCATATGATGTTAAATTTACATCATAGACAGACATACCACCATCTTGGGGATGCAAAACAGTGCTGTTCATAAATTGTTCATGAGTTTCTTGTTGTTCTGAAACAACAAATTCATTAGCAACACACAGGCTAGCCTCATCATTTCCAGGCTGTTCTGAGTTGTCTCTGGATGTATCTTCAATCCAGCCCATAAATTCTACATCTTGTGCATGTTCAGCAACACCATTTGCTGCCACTGCAGAGTCTAAAGCTGACTCATCATTGTTACTAATTTGTTCATCTTTATGATCAAAATTATTACTACTTGCTTCCTGGCCATCAGATACTCCTTCATTGCTTGCTAGAGTTGTCATTAAGCTCTCTTCATTATCACGTGAGCTGGCATTGTAGTGTGTATCCTCCACACCATTCAAGTCAAACTGCCCAGCAGAGTGGACACTCTCAGAAGTGTTCTGTGCATTTTCGTGCCAAGTATTATCAATAGGTGTGTAAACCACACTTTCCTCCAGTTCTTCTAGTTCATCTCTTAAAGTCTTTCCAACCACATTTTGATCAGTTATAGCTTCAGCTGCTTTAATCAGTCCATTAATACTACTACTATCATCACTGTCATCATCAATGTCATTCTTGCTGTCATCAGGATATTTTTCAGATTCCTGATCAGACAATACCTCTTCCTGGATTGAAGGGAATGGTGACTGGAAACTCTGTGTAGCTATTCGCTTTCTGTCCACAGTTGGCACTTTGACTGCACTGGTTTGATCTGGTTTTGGTTCTAAATATCATAATTGAAAGCATCATAAACATTAGCCCTTTTACTCCCATGGGTGACCAGGACAGAAATTATTGCTACAATATCAAAACAACATCAAGCAGACAAGAGATGAGAATCAAGAAAAATATCAATTTGGGGATTATTAAGTGATCCAATACCAAATTCTCTGATGTAAAATGATGAGAGTTGTACAGCAGACTGTAAGGAGAATTACTAATGAGGTCCTGGAAGTGAAGGGGTTAATCAGTAACAAATAATGTTTCATAATTTCAATAATTCAAGCCTTTTTTCACCAGACATTTAAAAATAAAAGTAACAATAATGAAAAAAAGAACCTTTCTGCAAAATATCACCATTAACAAAACCAAATAATAATGTTACTTATTCTTAAGCAGTTTCATACTTTAATTAATATATAACTTACTTTTAACCTTTCAGCATATGTTTCACAACATCTCCGATGATTATATTCAAAAACTACTTCAGCTTTTTAAAATAACTCATTCATTGTATGATTAGGGATGATAAGTGTATATGTGTGAACATCAAGTAATTTTGGGCTGAGGTACACGTAGCTCTTTGAGGATAAATTAAAAACATATTGGCCTGCTTTTGACCTTCCATGCTGTAATTCCATCCAAAAATAGAGAAAAACAAATCAACACAAAAGAACATTGGTTCACAGATTATTTCAAGAGGAATGTTTTTGTTCTTTAAGTACCCTTTGCATTTTACAAAACAAAGACACAACTCTAACCTTGCTCCTTTTCCTCAAATTCATCTAAAAGTTTGTCTAAGTCCACAGGAACAAAGGCACTGGCCATTCTGAAAACATATTTCACAGACACTTTAGCTATAGACTAAATCAAGACACACACAAACCCCATCCCACTTAAGTTTTCTCCAAAAGAGTCCTTGAATTCAAGTACCCTTTGTGTACAGGTTTGATGTTGGGAAAAGACCAGACTCGCATGGAGAAACAAGGGCTTTTTATGAAGTAAATGTAAAACAAGGTGAAAAAATTTTGGCCTCTGAATTTGGCGTCTTATTTCCCCTAACAGTAACAGTATCACCCCTGAATCAAACATTAATGTGATAAGAATATTACAAATGATTGCCAGTGCCATAAGGGAAGTACTAAAGGAATTATAGACTGTCGTTCAGCAATCATTCTTTTCACACAGCTGCTCCTAAATTGTGGAACAATCTTCTGTGCTCTATCTGAAACACTGAATCTTTAAACTGGTCTAAGAAAGTTATGGAGACGTTTTTAGTTGCAAAAGCTCTCTACTTATTTGAATGTAATTTTTGTTTTTCTACATGTACATCTTCCCACTCAAAATTTTTATTTTTAGCTTTAAGGTCTGAACATAGTTGAATTTTTAACATTGTTAATATATTGATAATTGTGTAATACAAGTCAATAAATTATCACTAATTATTACTATAATTATTATTATAGACATCATGCATGGTTATGTAAGGGTGTAAAGGGTTTTGTCTTGAAGGCCAAGATGCTCTCACTGGCTTGTGCTTTTCCCTAGGAACTGTAACATGAAGAGACTAAGAGTACATCTACTTCCCCTGGAAGACATGCTAGTCTTAAACAGGTACCCCCCACCCCAGAATTTTTTCAAGTTTCCCTAAGTTCAGGATTGCCAATTATTCCCTTGGGAACCCCTCCTGGATGGAATAACACACTGTGAAAGCTAAGCATTTTTAAAACAATGAACTTAACCCTTTGCACCCCAACATCAGAAGAGGTATTCTCCCTACTGTTCTCTTTATATTCCCCTCAGATGTTGACAAGGGGAATTCGTGTTACAATCAACAGCTTCTTTAGCTGCTGATAATTTTCTTTTTTCTTATGACCTTACTGTATGATTCAGGGGTGATATTGTATGGAAAAATTAGATGCTTGTCACTCTTGAGTGTTAAAAGGTTAACCAGAAGCACCAAACCCTCACAAAACTAAATCAATCTATCAAAAAATATCAAAACTAATAAGACTAAACTTGAAAATAATATGAAGAAAAAGCTTTAAAAAAATAAATAAATAAACACAATGTACTGCAAAAAAAACAAAAGCAAAATACTCAAATTCCTCTAAATACTTTCCAAGCATAATTACACGCTATAATTCTGACACAATAAAGTGTTTTCTTCCAGGAATTCCGATAAATTAGAGATGTTTAAATCGGATTTCACTGCTCTTGAAACATATTTCAAAGGTATTGTGACACATTTTTAATTCCTGAAAGATCATTTTAACCTGAAGAAATGTGAAAGTTTAAAATGAAATGTGATAAGATCTCTTGTGTCGTCATAATCAAAACATGGTTCACACCATCACTTCTCAACATCACTGTTTCCCAGTCGACAAGGTAATATTTGCATAAGTAAGTTGATATTCTACGACGGGTTTGTCCAAAAATAGTTGTAACGCTTAAAAAATGCAAACTTATTTCCATCAAGAAAGCAAACATTAGCAATTGCAAATGAACCTTAATTAAATAACTGCTGCACTGTTTGATTGAATTTCAAATAAACTAGTAATTCCAAATGCGCAGTTGTTGGCAACGAAATTTAAAAATTGCAAAGTATGTCCTCATTACATGCATAAAATAAGAGCGTATTTATTCTTTGACTTGGCTAAAGGTATTCGATTACAAGCCGCAAAAAAATCCTCTCTTTAAAGCAACTACAGCTCCTTAACTTAAGCTAATCACTACGGCGAAGTCAACATGCAACCTTTCTGAACGATTGAACGAATGCTTGACACGATCACCTCACCTGCAAGGTCCAAAGTTCCGCCTCCGTCTATCATTTCACATGGCTTTTACATGAAGCTGGCGATGACAGACCACGAAACATTAATTTAAAACGTTTTCTTGCAGCAACAAACACCATTCAGTCTTGAGGATCTCGGTTTTGGTTCATAATTTTCATTATGCAACGTAGATAGCTTTAATTCCTTACTCCTTCCTCGTGAGTCTCCCATGAGCTCACGTAAGCGATCAGCGGTTAGCTTTGGAGGGTATGTTGTGTAAGACTCCATGGGGTATAACAGTTAGCATCAAACCGTTTGGTACTCTGAAGAATCTTTGATCAAGGGAACCAACCCTCAACAACAACCATTTTTAAAACCTAACGACGTTTTTCTAAGCCAAGGCGTATGAGAATTCCTTCTTAACTTACCCTGATTTCTGAAAATATTGCCCCACTAAAAAAGTTGCCGCAATTTCTTCTCTAATCTGTTTTTTTACATTTGTTTTATTACTTTGGTTTTGGTGATTAACAAAAGCTTGATTAAGAAAAAAAACTTTCCATACGCTTATCTTGGCTAGGTTCGAAATTAAAACTAATTTTCTTGAAAAATGAAAAGTGGTCAATAGGTATTAGCGTCATCAGTGCAAACACTACATCTTTAAGGGTGGTTGCACCCTTGTACATGCTAAGCTCACATCTTTTGAGCCTTCATTTGTGTTGTCAGTTTTCTAAAAATGAAGCTTCATGTGGAATTTTTCATTTTTCATGGCCTGCTGTATTTCTTTTTTTGGAACAAAGAAGATCATTGTTCTATCGTCAAAGAATATTTCACAAACATTTCCCTGCGCACATCCTGGGGTACAAAATGATGAACAACCTGAAATGGAAAAGCAGATATAATCTGCTCTCAATTCAATCAAATTAATTGAGGTGGGTGACTGCAAAAGTCTTAAAATGACAGGTATTGACACAGTACAGCTATCTAAAACAGAGATGATGCCCCAAAATGAGAAATGAGAGGGCCTGGGCAAGTTAAGGAAGATGGGTCCTATACCTCTGTCTTACTGGTATTTGAGGGCATGCCAGGCTATTTCATCATGAAAATTTACAAATTATTTCTGAACAGAGAAAAGGAGGGAAGGGGGGGGGGGGCACATGTAGTTTTAGAGTCACCTCCATTCATAGCCACAACCTGTAGGTCTGCACACAAACGAGGAGGCTCAAAAGGCACAGGATTTTATCCTAGTCTATGTGGCATTAACCCTTGACACCCTGACATCATTATGCATATTCTCCATACTGTTCTCTATACACTCCCTAGGTTCTAACAGGGAGAATTTATAAAACCATTCAGAACTTCATTAGTTGCTGATCATTTCCTTCATTCTCATGACTTAAACCATTTATTCAGGGGTGATATTGTAAGGAGAAATTAGAACCATGTCACTATTAGGGATTAAAGGGTCAAGCCATCAGGAGTGTTACTACTTCCCCTGAATGGGGAGCAAGTCCATCGCAGGTTGCCCCTAGCATTCTGTCAATAATAACAGCAAAACAAGAAAACGCCTACATTATAAAGTTGAACCAACCCTTTTACACTTTAACTTTTGAACTCTGTTATTGTTTTGCCTTGTTTTTTATCTCTCCCTCTTTTTAATAGCAATCCTTTGACTTTTTCTTTAGCTATTTTTACATGCCATTTAGGCTCAATAACTAACTGAGGTTTAGTAAGCGAGTCAATGAGGGGCAGAAATACGAAACTGGTAGAAATCAAGTTCACATGAAACATGATCATAATGTCAACTATGATACCAGAATAGATTTACCTACAAAAGATGATGCTTACCTCAGTGCTGTTAGCATCTAGTTGGATTGTGTAGTCTAGATCACCTCTGTGGCTTAAACAATTCTTGCTGGAGCGACAGTCAACTCTGACAACAACATCACTGTGGGACTGGTAACAGACACACCCATAACATTAGTAACCTTGTTACTCCTAAGAGTGATCAAAAAGAAATTTCTCCCCACCATATCAACACATTTTCAAGCAGAAAGGTGACGAGAAGAAGAAAAAATATCACCAACCAAGTATTATGATTTAAAGCCAAATTTTTAGGGGTAATATTATGATAATTTGAATAGAAAAGTTGATAAATTTTGAGCATGGTAGCAAAGAAAGAAGACGATTTTTTATTTCTTGCCATGAGCATGGGACCAAGAAAAACATTCTGATAACCCATAAGAAATTGAACCTCAGACATTTGGGTCCATGCTGGAGTTCTGAAGTTCAATTCCTTGTGGGAACTCAGAAATTTTCTTATGATACTCCTGACAAGACAAAAAACATCTTTTTTTCCTTCACACTTTAACTCCCAAGAGTGATCATGACAGAATTTCTCCTTACAATGTCAATACAATATCAAGCAGACAAGTGATGAGAATAAAGAAAATATCAGTAAGGGGATTACAGGTTGATCCAATACCAAATTCTCCAAACTGACATCACAAGATTGTTTAGAGTTATCAACTGAGTTGATAACGTAAATTGTCCACCATAAAGAGTTAAAAGGCTGACATTTCAAGCATTAGCCCTTCATCAGAGCATTTGGAGGAATTATGGGTTGTGTACAGGTTTATTTATTTCATAAATTAGCCAATCTGGAAAACTGACTTGCATACTTTTATTTTTAGTATGAGTTTTAGTCAGTTGTTTTTGAGCTTTCGTTCATGTAAATTTGTTACCCTTTTGATTGGAAATTTAAGAAGTTTTGGATTTTTTATTTCAGCCAAATGTTGTGGTTCATTAAACAAGTTAAATACATAATTATTTTCTATGGAGTTTGGACTCTAGTCTCTTTTTTGTGGATGGATTTCCTGCACAGGTTAAAAAAAAGCACTACTTAAGTCTAAACTTCAAACTAAACCTGAATATTTGTTCTTAATTCTCACCATATTTTGTAACACCAGGGTCACTCTAATGGAACTTTCATACTTGAACAAAACCAGGTCCCTCATTCCTTTTATATTCTCCTTTTTGGTAACATTGTTTAACACTGATGATACTACAGCTTTATGCACAGCTTCATTTTTGTTCTCCACCACTGAATTTACTTGAATTGATGGCCTGCACCTGTTACAGTACACCTCAAGCAAGAATGGATTTGCCTACAAAAAAAAAAGAGAAAAAAAATTAACCAATTGACTCCACCAGACCTGTTAGCTATGATCATCTGTGGGTAATAGGAAAAAGGTTAATTCCTCTAAGGATATCATAAGAATTGAAAAATGCATGTAAACAACCTCATACATGCAAAAATAAAAAGTGTATGACCAAGGCAAATGTTGGTTTAATTTGCAACATTTATATACACTGTAGACACTGTCTATAAGAATGCAATCAGTGTGGATAACTGACTGTACATTGTTATAGTTGATGTCATAAAGAAAACAAGTATTCACTGCATGCATATGAGTAATTGTGTCATATTTTTGCCAAGTATAGCTGGTCTCTACAATATGGCTGATTTTCATTTTGTATTTGATTTGTTAACAGTGTGGCATAAAGAAGCTTTAAAGAATAATCACTTGGTAGCAAAATACAATGTAATCCTTAACACACTCATTGTTAATTGCTGTAAGTAATAATAATTTACCTGATCTAACTCAAGAGCTTTGTTATAGCCCATGTTTTCAAGAGTCAGCCATAAGTCGTTAGGATCACCATCTGCATCTTGTGCTTCCATCATGTTCAGGTCCAGGAATCCTTTCAGAGTTATCTCATCATCCTCCATTTCAAAATTATCTAAAAACCATAACCCAAAGCTGTAATAATGGATGGTAGAAAAGTTATAACTTTCAAAGCCTTTTTAAGGGAATTTTTTTTATATTTTCCATGACTTATGATCAAGGGGTTGCTCCCAGAATAAGGTGAACATGATCATGTAAGAAGGCATTTTTCTTTTTGCTCTCAAAAGTACCAAATTCAATTATTTTCCAAGCCTTTTAATGACCCAAACTGAATTTCCATGACTTTCCTGGGCCAGAAAATGATATGTGGAGATTTACCTTTCATAATTTCCCATGCATCATCATCACAAAGGTCTCCACCAGATTTAAACTGGAACAAGTCGAATTCTTCTCTACTTAAAGATCCATTCCCATCAAGGTCACAACTGTCAAAGATTTCAGACAGTGCTTCTCTGTAAAAATGTAAAACAGAATCGAAAAAGTTCACACACCATTCTGTAATCAAATTTCTCTTTTATCTTCTAAGGGCACAAAAAAGTTTAAAGCTTGGCTGAACAGTTACCTTCTTTTGCACTGAATTAACTTTCTTCTGCATTGTGTTACTCGAAAAAATGCATTTCTCTTAGCCAATCACAATGATGAAATTGATTCATGTATATGAGTATTTAAAATACAAATTTGGATTTAAAAAAAAAAACATTAAAACTTATTTACTCAAATATCTTGCTAAGCTGGAGGTTTTCTCCATGGCCTGTAGTAAGTTTCACTTGTTTGGCAGGTTCTGCTTTTCTAATGGAGAGTCGACAACCAGTAGTGAAAGTTATCAAACTGTATGTCCCTCCTTCCAGCTCACAGCGAAAACAAAATTTCTACAAAAAAAGCAAAATAATATTATAGTTGAACCTGTATTTAGCAACACCATTAAGTGGTCACCCTGTATTGAGCAGTCAATGGTCAAAGAATTCTGGATTGGTGAAAGCTGCTAAGGGGGAGGCAAAATGACATTTGTTACAGATCCCAGTAAGAGGGCTGGATCTGAAATGCTTAGAGAACTTGTTTCCAATTGCCTCACTAAAATTAAACAAACAGTTCACTGATTAAACTATAATTATTTTTCTTAGCACTGTTAGGACAGAATGCATTTTTTAATCCCATTTGACTCCTATTCTGTGGAACCTGTATTTAGTGTAATCAGTCATTTCGCCCACCATCTGTTTGTCAATGTCTAAAGTTGGTTCACCTACATCCAATACGTCCATTTGCCTACAATTAATACATAAAAGCTTTAAAAATGGAATTGTTTAAAAGTCCATGTCGAACCTTGCAGAAAAACTGAGTATTAAGATGAAATAAAACACCGTTTACAGTCTTTGTGTTTACTTGTGACTTGAGCAGCCTATACTAAAGGAGGTGGGACTTCATAAATTAATGTTTTGACTGTTAGTTTGTGCACTTTCACGCAATCTGCAAACTTAGCTAATTATATAGATGAAAAATATATAATTATATATAACAGCTAAGGCATTATTTGTGATGACTTGTGACTTGAACAGCCTATACTAAAGAAGGTCCCAGACTTTTCATTAACATATCATTCAAAAGGACAAGGTACTTAAGAAATTAGCTTGTTCCCATTTTACTTCCCAGTTCAATGTTTATTTTGATGTTGTGATTTGTTCTATCATGAACTTTATAAATTAGTGTTTTGTTAGTTCGTGTGCTTTCACACGATCTGCAAACTTAGCTGGATGAAAAAAATATGAGGTGAGACTTTAACTAACATATCATTCAAAAGGACATGGTAGTTCATTTAACAGAGGATTGTAATTGAAAAATCAACACAATAATCAACGCTATCATCAATGCTATAATCATTGATCTGATTTACTATAACTTGATTCTTTCAATGCAAACTTGATAGCATAATATAGAAATATCATTCCTTTATCTCTTCCCTCTGTTAAGTAATGAAGAAAGTAATACACCTGCTGCCAATTCAACATCAATTTTTTTTCCATTGAATCAACTGTTTTATACAATGATTGTTATAGTATGGAGTTTAAAATGTACATGAACTGACATATTGGACGAAGGTGAATCACCTCAAGACATAGGCGAAATGACCCATAGGCGAAACAACCATAATTCGTATTTAGCAGTCACTCTGCCATTTCCCATAGGTAACTGCTTAATACAGATTTGACTGTACTTAACAAAATGTCTACTGAATTTTAGTTTGTAAACAGCCAGACTGATTTCACAGATCTTAAAAAAAGTTTTATCATTGTGTATTAACACTCACTGGTCCAAGCTTGGATGCTGTAAATGCAACCAGTTCTGAATTCTTGTCTACACAAAACACTGCCATGTCTATTGTTCTCAGTTGATCTACAACAAAGTCAAAAATGAAACAGCATTATGTTATGAACTGAACTAAAAAATGTAACTATCTTAACATTGGAGACAGCTGCTCCATTCACTCTGATGAAGGGCTAACACTTGTAACATTCATAACATAACTTCATCCAAGCAAATTATCCTGAAATACCCCAATTGATGCAGCACTACAGTTTCTTTAGAAAGTTACCCCCTTCATCCATTGAAAGTTTTTTGCCCGTATACAAATATTAAAAGTGGAAGATTGCTGAATGATGTGATGATGGTTAGCATGTTAGTGACTGAATCAAAAGAATAAGCTTTGTCATCTGACAAAGACTAGCAGTATAGCAGTTGCAAAGTCACAGTCAATACAGTTGATAGCCTTACTCTACAATGCAAGAAATACAAGTAATCATTAATTCATCTACATGACCACAACAGCCAACAACAACTTGTTTAACACTGGGAGAGCAGATATTCAAATTTGGACAACACATCAAATGAGTCACATTCTAGCACCTTTCTTGTTTTTAGTAGATTGGATGGTGACAAAGACTTCAGAGTCCTTTGTGAGGTGCAGTTTATAATGATGACTTGAAATCATTCCATATCTGTCGATAAAGAAACTACCCTTACTACTTCCTTTATTCCAATCCTACAAAAAAAAAACACACAAAATGAGTTTTATAACTAAATTTGTTAAAATTTTTCATGTGAAGCTGCACCTTAGTAAAGGTCATTATAAAGACACTTAACCCTTTAACTCCCAGAAGTGACCAAGAAAGAATTTCTCCCTACAATATCATTACAATATCAAGCAGACAAGTGATGAGAATAAAGGAAAATATCAATTAGGGATTATTAGTTGATGCAATACCAATTTCTCCAAAGTAACATCATAAGAATTGTGTAACTGACAGTAAAGAGAATTTCTAACAAGATGTTGGGAGTGAAAGGGTTAAATACAATAATCATTTTGAATTACTGAATCATAACATTAGTCCCTTTTACAACAAAAGTCCAAACCATTGTGATTTGATCATTCTACATTTATCTGTTATTTTGTTAATATGTTTTTGCTTGTGGTGTTCTTTTTATTATAATATTATTTTATCTAATTTGCCACTGTCACTCAGTTTTTTTAAGTAATATTAAAAAACCAGAAAGAAAGTGCTTATTTTATATGCCCCATGGTTTCTTTGGGCTCCCTTGTCATTTCTTTCAAAAGTAATACCAACCTATGCTGCATTTGCAGTTCTATGGTGGAAAAAACCCTAATCTAGAAGATAACTCTGACTAATAATTACTGGCTGTAGTCTAATGTAAATCTGTGCAGAAAGAGCTGTTGTACCTTCAGGTTTTCAGGCTCCTGCAGGGTTTTTCTATTTGTGGACTGTCTTTTAGCAGAATATGGTGCAGGAGAAGAAGCAACATCATCATCAGCTCTTGCTAGTTTCTTTAGACTTTTCTGTTTACAATCCTCTGCTGTAGAGACAAGTAGTGCTGCAAACTTGAAAAAATAATAAAATTTAATATTTTAAACTTTGGATTTTTTTATTGTTTTGTTTCTTTAATGATGATGAACAGGAATCTATGAGGTTACTGTATGATAAAAGAGGTAAAGTTTGTACTTGAGCCTATTGGTACACCCAACTGGAGTTTATCCCAGTTTCTTAAGCATGAAGCAACAAATGGTATCACTACTACCTGACCCCCTGGCTGGGATGCAAGGTTTTGTACCCCCCAACATTTCATCAGGCTTCCCTGACAATTTCCCAGTACCTATTTATACTCCTGGGCTCAGTTGTTTGAAGGTCGATTAGCACTAACCCAAGGTTAAATTTAGATCTGGGTTTCTTTATTCCTTTATTCAAATACCTTTTTAGGATAATTTCCTGTGTTCTTATTAGAGCATCAAATAGTCATATTCCAGACAAAAAGAATTTGACTGAATTTTGTTTTAAAGTTATTAGATCTGAAATCAGATTTCACACTAACCCTGGGTTATCCTAACCCTGCTTTGAACAACGCGGCCCTGGATGGAAAGAGGTCCCGTGGGAGTAAAGCCTTTTGCCCAAGAACACAACACTTTGACCCACCCAGGTCTCGCACCTAAACTTCTTGACCCTATTTTAAAAGCTGTGACATTAATTTAATGAGATATTTCAAAAATTGTCTAAATTCTTAGTAGGAAGTTTTTACTTAACTATAAAAGCAAAAGCAAGCATTATGTAAAAGAATTCAATTACAAATTGTAAGCACAAACCTCATTATAATCCAGCTTTCCATCATTGTTTACATCAGCATCATCTAGAATTGCTTGCACCTCAGATTTAGTCATACGTTCTCCTTGCTGTTAGGATAACAAAACTTAACCATTAATGAATAAAAGCAATCAGAAAACAAAAACTAGTGCAACATAATAGATATTCCAAGCACAAAGTAAGATAAACATACATGATCAATTTGTTAGGGTCTAAATAAGAAACATTGGGAATTATAGATCCAATTCTTTCTACTTTATTTTGTGGTTATCACCAAAGGACTTTTCATTGCGCAGGGTTAAATAAAGTCCTACACCACTGCCACGAGAAGGCATGTGGAGTAGTTTTTTTCTAACGTATTACCTCTTGAGTCTCTTCCATTCTTGGGACCATTCTTGGAACCTCACCCCCCCCCCCCACCCCCTTCGCCCTTGTGACACTCTTGGCTTAATCCATTCCACCACCCCAATTTTCCTGGATGTGTGGTAGACATTTCCTCCAGAGCCAGTTCTGGAATTCTGGTCTGAAATCAAGTGAGTTAACCCTTTTGCTCCCAAGATCTTATTGGTAATTCTCCTTTCTTTCTCACATACAATTCTGATTTTTGATGTGAGTTTGTAGAATTCAGTATTGGGTCAACTAACAATCCCCTAATTAATATTTTTCTTTAATCTCATCATATTTTTCCTTGATGTTGTAAGGAGAAATTCTATCTTGGTCACTCATGGGAGTTAAAGGGTTTTAATCTAATTTCATGATAATCTCCTTTACCTTTCTTTGTGATAACGTATTGATCTTGTAAGGAGAAATTACCTTCTGATCAATGTTGTGAATGAAAGGGATTTATATATCTAATAAAGCAGGAGAACATTTGTACCTTAGTCAAAAGTCTAAACAATTCATCATGTGTTATGAATCCATCGCCATTAGTATCAATACATTTGAATGCTTTCAGCATAGAGTCCTTGTCAAGAGGCTTCTCTTTCCTCATAATGTCACAGAAATCATTGTAAGATATACTGTCTGTAAAAAGAAAGTAAATGTAAGTAAAAGACGTATTTATAGTTAATTTGTTATCATTTGTTAAGCAATTACGAAAAGAAAAGCCTGGAAAAATTAAGGCTTTGGGATTTTACAAAGAAATTGTGATCAGATTCCTTTAAGGGAAAGATAAAACCTTTAAAATTTGCATTGCTCCCAACATATGGCCTCACAGCTCAGTTGGTAGTAGCCCCCAAATAGTATCTGGGAGGCAGGGCTTCAAATAACGATGAAGCCTAAACATTTTTAGGCCTCTCTTCTGCAGTCTGCCTATGAGGATCATTTCGATGCTTGATTATCATACTGCTGTCAAATTAGATTAATTAGTTTAGATTGTTATTTCAAGTACATAGCATAACTATTCTAAACCTTTTTTCCCATTTAACCACTTTCTGAACTTCATGTGATGTACTTGACGTTATTAAATTGTATGACATAATTTATAAAGATTTCTGAGAGCTTCATTTCATGACATTCACTATAAAAAGGTCATACTTAAACAGGGTTTGTACCCTTTTTCAGAAACAAATTTCAAGGACTTTTCCGAGACTTTACCAGGACTCTGACTTTATCCAGGACTCCAGATTTCACCTTAAACCCCATAATTTTCGATTCTGCTTATCACTGTCTACATAAATTTCCTATAAGATAAACATAAATTCTAAAAACTTTATTGCTTGATTGAAGTAGATTTCCAGGATCTTCCAGTGAATTTAAGTCTTTTCTTATTTTTCTGGAGAATGTCAAAATAAAATTCCAGGTTTTCCAATACATGTATGAACCCTGTTAAAGGGGAAATACTATTTAACATAATCCCTTAACCCTTTTAGTAATGTAATCAACTTTAAGAAGAGCCTTAGTATTCCAACCTGTATTATGCTTCCAATATTTTTCAGCAAACTTCCGAGAAGGATTCCTTCCACCAAATTGAAGTGCTAGCCAAGATAGACAACGAAACACTCCTTGCCATAAATGTATTCCACAAGTCATTTACAGTATATCTAGTATCTAAGCCCTTTAACTCTCAAGATCTGATTGTTAATTCTCCCTTCTAGCTGCTTTACCTTTCCTTGTAAATGAATTACAAGACTTTAGTGTTAGATCAAGACAACAACTTTTACCTGATAAGTTTGACAAGTTTGCAGCAAAATGGGATTGTAATTAGTATCCCCAAATCTTTACCATTTGGCCCCCCAAGAATGACTAGCCATTAATTTCCCCTTACAATATATCACCCCTAAATCATACATTAAGGTCACAAGGATAAGGGAAATGATCACTGACTACGGCTTGAGGTAAGCTATATTAATTGCTTAAAGACTATTTCTGATGTGGAACAAAAAACTTTTCAGTGGAACAAAGCGACTGTTTTATGGTATGAAGAGACTTTGAATTGGAACGAAGTGACGTAGAACGAAACGACCATGGAACGAAACGACCGGATACCTTCTTAATCACGCCTTATCATTTGTTGGTAAACTCACGCCACCAACTCCCCCTCCCCTCCCCCCTAATAAAAACAAAACTCACCACTCCCTCGAGCTGTGATTAGTTAAATAGTTCCATCTGCTTACAGTCTATGTTTTCTTACCTAGGATCAATTCATCAATGGATGTAATCTTTTCTGTAGTGCTACTTAAAACAGCCAGGTAAGCGGCACGGCATTCCTTCATAAAATTATCAAATTTTGCAGTCGATTCTCTTCGAACCTTCTCCGAGAACGACACGTTTGATGCTCGCGATGAAATGCTCGAATTAGACGACCTACGAGCCGGTTTTACTCGCTTTATCTCTGACATTCCTGTAAGAAACTTTCTAAAGTCCTTTCTGGCTAAATTGTTTCGCCTGCATGATGTATGGATCCAGTTACCATAGAGTGCGCCATCTTTGCTTTCTTAACCGTCACGCATACAACTGCTGACCAATACTACCGCGGTCCCAAGGCTAGAAGGATCGAGAAAATTAGAAATGGCGAGTTTTTGAGGGAATCTCGGAGCGGGCCTGACACTTTCTATACCCGAGATAATTGAACAAAATAAAACTCATTGGCCCAATCGTGGGCTTTTCTGATTTGACGATAGGATACATCTGCATTATTGAATAAATTTTACAACATTGTTTACATCGCAAGAGCATGTCTTTCCGGATCTATTCAAATTGATCTTGAATGTTCTAACCAATTGTCTGCTGTCTACTGTTATACTGCACCGTTGTTTTGTGATTCATATGATATTCTTTGGCAGCTACATCACATGAGTTTTTTTCAATGCAAAAATTTTATCTCAAAAATAACTCCGTTTTCAAAAGGACCTACGTGTACGTTAGATTATTCAAAGATAAAGGAAACTTGCCAGACGAAAAAAAAACAAACACCGAAAGCGTAATTATAGACCATAAAAGAGCGAAGATGGATAAGGACATGAAAATTCCCAGGGATTGCGGTAAAAAAAGTATTAAAATCAACTTTCGCCAAATTTCCCAATGAGGGATGCAGGAACTGCGTAGTTTATCCTCTTGACACCTCTTAAAGCGGAAAATTCATTTAAATTATCCATATAAGTCAAAATTGCCGAGTTCACAAGTGAACCTCTTTACCCCTCACCGGAAAACTTGTCATCAAAGCCAGACTTTTTCCAAAAATATCAAAGTAGTCATCCATTGTTTAATGCTACATTACAAAATTGAGACAAAGCCATTACGCTGAAATTTCATTTTCGTATATGCTAGTTTTCATTTTTCGGTTATTTTTGGCATTGGTTGGGAAAATTTTGAAAGGATGCCATAGGCGGAAATTGGTCTAGAAGGTAACCTTCTTAAGTAACATCAGCAACGCAAAGGGCACCATGCTATTTGTCAAGTGTCAGTACGTGACTCGCGGAATATCGTTTGAAAACTCGCCTATTTATGATCAATCAGGTATAACAATAAAACTGACACGATGTTTTCAATCTAAACAATCTTGAAGAAAAGGTTAGTTTGGGAGCAGTTATAATTTGTTGATAGGGTTGAGTGAGTACAAGTCGATCCAACCTTGTTTGAAAGACTGGAAAATAAATACAATGTTGTGTACAACTTGCTACTTGTGTTGTGGTAGGGTCCGCTGATACAATACTTGTTGATTGTATTGAGAGACAAACGGTTGAAAAGTTATCATGATCATTACGCTGAATGAATATAGCTTGTTTTCCGCATTTGAAATGCTGGGGGTGGACATTTTAACGGATTGCCGAAGTGTTTTCTAGATAATTCTCATTCCTGAAGTTCTGTAACGCATCAATTCTTGGTTTCTAATCGTATGTTTTATAATATTTGCGATTTTTGTGGTTTTATCAGCGATTTGTAACAAAATATATCTTACTTATAATTCCAATAAAAACCCGAAGGGATTCATTTTCACAAAAATTCTTAGCACTTGTTAGATTCCTGATAGGAATATTTATAACAGAGAGTAAATATCTGCTCTATTAAAATAGCACGATTTTTTTTTTTATCAGATGAATGGAGATGAATTATGAAACATGTTACTTATTCAAACCATCATTTGCGAAAACTATAAAACGTCGTCAGATGCTTTTTAAGGAAATTAATATTCCTTTCTTTTCAACATAACTACGATAAACGTCCTTGAATAGTTAAATCTCTACTACGGTTTATGGCGGAAAATTCCCACTTTGGCAACATGCCGCTCGGTGAACAAATTCCTCTCTAAGTCCAACATTAAATCCACTCATAATAGTTTTCCAATTGTCACAAATGTTCAGCAAACAAATTGACTTCAAATTATGAACAAACATGATCTTCTCATGACCAAGGGAAATTTCCGTACATCGCAAAGTCCATTACAAATTGTGTGTATAATTACAAAGTTCGATATTGAATTTATAAATTCGTAATTTTTTTCTAAATCGTTAGCGTCGAGTTTGAATGATGTCAGGACCTAGAGACTCTAAAAATTCTTAGTATGTAAACAACGAAAATTGCGAAATGAGCGCTTCGACGAAATCAAAACAATGTCAAAAAAAAAAACATCACGCTAAATTGTTGCTATCTGTTAGGGGTATGTGAACACGATGCAGTGTGATTTGTTTCACTTGCGTTAAGTTTGCTTTCTTCCACGTTCGATTACCATTGGTTTTTCTTTCGTTTCGATTCACATCTAATAATAAGTTTGACAAAAATATACGGCGACTTCATGAATAAACAGTATGAATGATATAAGCGTTTGATATAAAACACTGCAAGAAGGAGAATGGATTTTATTTCCCTCAAAGCACACACTGTCAGAATTATGCCCGTAAGATGTCTAACATGTCTGAATGATGCAGAGATCGTGCCAGCTTTTATACTAGGAAGCTCAGATGCTATTTTTGTCATGTCCATAAATGGTGTGAAATATCCCGTATTGGTTCCTCTTGATCGATTGTATGATTGAATAAAAACTACAGCCAATGAAATGGCAGTTAAAATAGGCAAGTGACTCGCTATGAGAAACCGCTTATATCTTCGTGTGCAGTGAACCAAGAAATGGTAACGTGCAAGCATAGTTGAGTTCAAAATGTCCACCGTTGTCGATCCTTTGCTTTCAACGGTTACCTTGGATTTATTGCGTCCGAAGGAGACATTTGGAAACCCTGAAGAACATTTTAGAAAGGTAAGTGTGTATAGCGTCGAGTAGGTTTAAGCAGAGCGCTGTTAGCGTGATTTGTTAGCAGTGGTATGTTACAGCAGTTAGTCAGTTTCATACCGAGTTGGAATTTCTGTGAGACGAAACTAACCAAATGGAACATTTTTAATGTTCTGTTTTCAGCAATGGTTTGACATCGACAGCTTGAATTTTTCGCAGTTCAGTAGTAAGGTGGATATTTTCGATGACAGCGGCGCATTTGACTCCGAGAGCTCATTGGATTCAGACTACGAGCTAAATTACAACGAGAAATATTTCTGTCAGGAAGATCTAATCGAAAGCAAGCTGAAAGATACTGCCTTGTTGTACGAATTGCCTTACCAACAGGATGACATTTCTTTGGAGTTACGAGCAGCTAGTCCGGATGATTTATCAAGCTGCAGCCCTACTACTAGTGAGTCGTCTTCGGACATTGAAGTCCAGCTCGATTCCGTCGAGCAGACGGATCTCACGTGCAGTGATGTGGAAATGAAACCCGTCTGTGCTGCTAAAACAACGACTGTGAAACAAACTTCAGAGGGAACGCAAACTGACAACGATGAAGGTTTCGCGGAATCGATGAAATCTGATTCTTTGACCAAACTGGGGAAGCCAAAATTGACGATCGAAAGTTCTACAGCCATCTCTGGGTCGCCAAAGGCCAACTCGAATACATTAAAAGGAATTAACACTTCAGATGCAAATGATGCGAAAGATTCCTCAGAATCTACTCCAGTGCAACTACCAAAAGGAAAGAAAACATTAGCAAGGACTCATAAATGTACATTCGAAGGTTGTAATAAATCTTATACTAAGAGCTCGCATCTCAAAGCTCATCAAAGAACACATACTGGAGAAAAACCTTACCAGTGTAACTGGAAGGATTGCGGTTGGCGTTTCGCAAGATCTGATGAGCTTACAAGGCATTATCGAAAGCACACCGGAATAAAGCCGTTTAAATGCACCACATGCGATCGAAGCTTCTCTCGATCAGATCATTTGTCGCTTCACATGAAGCGTCATTACTAACGAATTCTTAAGGCCTCATTGCAAGACAGTGAACCTTGCTAGAATATTCCAAGCTCGGTTTTCAAACGTAGAGCTGTAACATAAAAAAAAGATCTGTACTAAGATATGTTCTAGTGATATCGTATGTACAATTTATACATTATAGACAATATTCCACAACATGAAGACTGTGAACGACCAGGTTCAACAGAATCATCAAATGGAGTAAAGAATTTAAAAGAACAAAGAGAAGAACTTATTATTAAGGTGGCAAACACCACTCCTGAACTGTGTACATTTATGTTTGAAAATGGAAATAAATGCAAAGCATTAAAATGAGATGTATTTTACGAAATGTTTGTTTCTTGTCATGACTTGTAGGTCATGTGCTTTTGAATAAACAGCAGACTAGAAGGTCACAAGTTTTTGTCGCAAAACTTATTTGAATGGTAGAAGTCAAACTTGGAGTAAGTGAGGTTGTAATAATTTTTTTTTTGGCCTGCAATAGCCAATTTTTGCAGTCAACACTGTTATTGAATGATGGACTGATGTATTAATAAGTTTGGTTTAAAAATTACTCTGTGCAGAATTTAAGGCAGGCCTTGACTCGGCTGTGCAAATATTTCAATGTTTCTCAACAGCTTACAATTAAATAGAGCAAGCTCTAAATTGTCGTGAATATTTATTCTGTTTGGGCCTGAATTTTTACAAAAATGAAAATGTGGGCCATGAAGTCAATGAAACTAGTAAGTATAATCAAAACAAACAAAACAGTTGAAAAATCAGAACTAACAAAAGTGTCATGACACACTTGTCATGGGATTTTAAGAAATGCTGTTAAGACAGGTGAGAAATGAAGAGTTTAAATTAAAGTTAAAAAAAAAAATGGTCACTGATATCAAATAATTTTTCTAAAAATGTTATCAGCACTGATAATAGAGAAATGCCACATCTGTAATCACAAATATATCACATGTCATCTAGTTTGAAATTTGTAGGTTAATTTTAAATGAATCATAAATGTATACATGTGTTTACAATATTTTCATTATTCTTGTTCTGACAAAAAATATGGTAGCTGTTCTTTTTTGGCTTGATTATTTATGAGATTCAATGTATGCAACAGATGATCAGGAAATACTTTTGAAAGATATCTGATCATAGTCTGCACTGAGCTAAACTGGTATGGATTGCATTAAAATCAATCCCATGATGTGTCTCATTTTGTATTCCTCAAAAATGACCGCACTTCAGTATAAATTATTCAATTACTCAAGCCAATATTACTCCCGAACATGATTTAATGAGAATTGGTGATAAATGTTAATGAAAATATTGTCAAGTTTGTCTGAACCTCACACATTTA